ATTTAAAAGTTAATTCATCTCTTTCTTCTTGCAATTTCACTAACCCACAAGAGAACACACATTGCTCTCCTGTATCCTGTATTGCTCTCCTGTATCTGCCAGAGATCAGCGACATCGTCAGGGCGTATTGTCAGTGGTACATGAGCACCTGTATAGAGTTGTATACCCCAAATAACTACCTGCTGAAAGGACAATGCCACAGCCCAAAAGCTAGCTGAAGTGCTTTATGGGTGAGGGGTAATCTATTTTAAGCAAAGTTTATAAAAGTGCATATTTCCATGAAAAATCTGCACTTTTATAAATTAATTATGTAACTGCCCCCTATCCCCGGCTGTCAATCAAACTGCCTGGGAAGTTTGCAGCCTCTTCGTTAACTACTTTACGTTAGTTCTCCTGAGGTAACGGACATGGCAGGTGTGCTGTACTTGAGCACTCCTTCCTCCTCTCACACAGACCTCAGATCAACACATCTAGCTCCTCCAGACTCCAGAACAGGTGTGCACAGGTCGGACAACAGGTGTGCAACACGAACAAACCAGCTCACGGGCAAGTGCTCAAATTCAGAGGCCTCTCAATGACTGCAGAAATGGACTGGAGAAAAAGGAGTCAGCTTGCAAAGGCTCCAATTAGAAGAACTGCAACTTTTGATGTACCTCCAATGAATACAAGTATGAAAAAAATCATGCATGTATTATGTATTCATTGGGGTATATCTACTAAGCAGTGGTATCAACTTTTTTTGCCCATTTGGGCAGTAGAGAGTTCCTTTAAACATTATATCATATTCATTGGACATCAAATATATTAATATAGAGAACTCTTCACAGAATCCAAGCAGTCTCCAAATATAACTGTTTATTAATGGATATCACTCTTTAGACAAGGGGAACGTTACCCAATGTCACCCGATACAGCTTGGCAACTGCCCAGCTTGTCAACTAGCTCCACCCATAATTAAGAATGATCTATATTTTATTGTGAAGGACATACCCTGTTTTAGATGAAACAGAGAGAGGGATGGAGCTCTCCTGGCTACTAAATGCCAAATGACCATGCATATGGGGTTATAATTCAAAACTTGGAAGCAGACATCATTGCACAAAAAAAAACGAACAAAAAACCCCACAAACAACTAAATCCTTATTATGATTGTTTTTATTAAAATATTAATACCAGAAAACAATTATTATTAATTATATATACTCAATACATATTAGGACAATCTGTGCTGATCTTTGTAGAACATTAGTCGGTTTAAATGCTGAAGCACTTGGTAAAGTTTCAGATTAGTGCAAGACACTGCAAACCCATCTGGGAGCCAGAGGGTTAATTCACGGTGCAAGCTGTTAAATGTTAATCCATATGTAAAAAAAGTCTCTCGTTTCAATCACCGTTCAGATTGGATTTCTGTCTTTAACCATTAAGGATATCATAGACTGTTATTAATGGGGCATAAGGCTGCATCGGGTGACATTTTACAGACATGATTCTGATTTGGAGTCATTGTAGGCACAGGTTTGACCTAAAGTATTATTATAAGTAGATCTGGATTCTCTCGTGACACCAAGCTGAATGGTTGCTAACACATAGAGAGAAAAACAATACGTTCGCTCATTGCACGGCTTAGTAGTGAACGAATTATGGAATCACAAAATGTATTCCGTACTATGATGAAAGCCAGGGTTTTGGCCCAGAGGGGATATTTTTCAAGGCAAGCAGATTAAAAAAATACACATACAAAAATTGCTTAAATAACTGAAAAATGTAACAAAAACAGCTGTAGGCTATGTAAGCATATTTTTGTATGTATATTATTTTAATGTTTCTTTTAAATAGACCATTCTAGGGCCATAATGTTGGATTCCATATTGAGTTTATTAAAGAAGGCAGAATTGATCAAGTTAGACATTTATATGAAATTTGCTTTTACCTCATAGTTTTCGTTCTACATTCTTGAAGGTGGAGGGCGGTGTCACCCAAATTTGGCAATTGGGCAAACTGATTTGACAATTAGTGCTAGCCATATGGATACATTACTCCTAGGGCATAACATAGCCACTAGATTGTATCGCTACAAAAAAAAAAAGGGGCAAAAATCCCCACAACATATACTCAATATGGCACACTAAAGTCTAGCAAAGAGGAAAACACACCCAAACCGCTGTACAGTTATTACGAACCATCAGTCCATCTGAAGCAACTATTCAATCTCAGCACCTGTTAAACACAACTCCCTCTGAACAATGTGCATCGTGATCCCTTTCTCTTTGTAAAACAATACAAAACAAATGGTAGCCCATTACTCATTGTTTCCCCTTTACTCTAGTCTTGTGTATTACCCTGCAGAATTTTCTTTTGCCAGAGCCCCATTCGTATCTTTAGCATTTCTGCATTAGCACTGTAAATGGCATACCACTTCCCCTTTACTACAAACTAGAGCAAAGTTGTTAGGATAAGGTGAAATAACTGGAGAGAAGTGAGGAAAGTTCTGAGTACACTTACATTAAAGGGATTCTTTGCAGGCTGCAATAACTGCTTGCAGTGTTAACGTTGTACAGTTATTTGGTATAATTTCTCATAAAGTGTTTTAGTAGAGTTGAGCGAACCCGGACTGTAAAGTTCGGGGTCGTACCGAACATTACGTTTTTTGGACCCCGGACCCGAACACGGACATATCACTGTATGTTCGGGTTAGAGTTTGGTGTTCGGCGATTTAATGGCGCATTTTCAAAGGCTGCAGGGCAGCCAATCAACAAGCGTTTGACTCGTGTGCTCCTACTAATGGCATGGCTGTAATTGGCCAGTGCAGCATGTGACCCAGCCTCTATATATAAGCTTGAGTCGCATAGCGCCACACACACCTGAGTTCTTATTAGTGTAGGGAGAGGATGCTGCCGCTTTTAGGGACAGATTAGGAAAGAATTCTGCAAACTAGTACATTAGTGGGGTGCACTTCATATCTGAGAGTCAAATAGAAGCGTCAAATACCGCGGTTACATCGGAGTTTTAAAAAGTCATTTTTTTTTAGTGCTAAATAGTACATTAGTGGGGTGCACTTCATATCTGAGAGTCAAATAGAAGCGTCAAATACTGCTGTCGCATTGCAGTTTTAAAACTTTAATTTTTTTGAGTGCTAAAAAGAACATATGTGGGGTGCACTTCACATCTGAGAGTCAAGTAGAAGCGTCAAATACTGCGCTTACAGGGCAGTTGTAAACATTCTTATTTTCTGGGTGCTAATCTGCTAAATAGTACATTTTGGGGCCTGCTCTTCATATCTGAGAGTCAAATAGAAGCGTCAAATAGTGCGCTTACAGCGCAGTTGTAAATATTCTAATTGTTTTGCTGCTAATCTGCTAAATAGTACATTTTGGGGCCTGCTCTTCATATCTGAGAGTCAAATCGAAGTGTCTAATAGTGCGCTTACAGCGCAGTTGTAAAAATGCTAAATTTCTGGGTGCTAATCTGCTAAATGGTACATTTTGGGGCCTGCTCTTCATATCTGAGAGTCAAATAGAAGCGTCAAATAGTGCGCATACAGCGAAGTTGTAAACATTCTAATTGTTTTGCTGCTAATGTGCTAAATAGTACATTTTGGGGCCTGCTCTTCATATCTGAGAGTCAAATAGAGGCATCTAATAGTGCGCTTACAGCGCAGTCATAAACATTCTTATTTTTTGGGTGCTAATCTGCTAAATAGTACATTTTGGGGCCTGCTCTTCATATCTGAGAGTCAAAACGAAGCGTCTAATAGTGCGCTTACAGCGCAGTTGTAAAAATTCTAATTTTCTGGGTGCTAATCTGTTAAATAGTACATTTTGGGGCCTGCTCTTCATATCTGAGAGTCAAATTGAAGCGTCAAATAGTGCGCTTACAGCGCAGTTGTAAACATTCTAATTTTCTGGGGGCTAAATAGTACATTTGGGGTGTGCACTTCATATCTGGTGTATGTGTGCAACACTGGCTAGTTACCGCTTCTCAATAAAGTAAAGACAAATAAATGTTGCCTATGGTGCAGGTAGTATAGAAGGCAAGACTGAGACAAATCATTTGGGTTACGTTTGCCTGTTGACATGTTAATTACCTTAAACCATTAAAATTCAATAATCAATGAAAAAACACACTTAAAAGTTAAAGTTAAAAACAAGACTACTACTTTTCCCTGTCCCTTGGTGTTTCTCTCCCATTCCCTCTCTGTCCCTTGGTACACCGCCCACCCCTTTAATGGTCACACTCCCCTTCCTGGTGTGCCTCCTACCTCTCTTGTAGCATTGCAGCGCGGAGCTCAGTGAGCACCTCCTGTCAGTCTGGCTGGGTACAGGAAACAGAAGCTCCTGTACCGCACTCCGCTCCGCCACACTACACTCAGTGGTGTATACACACTGACAGTCACACACTCAATGACAAACAAACAGACGTCACTGACAGACACAGACTCATTGATCTGACACACACTCATTCATTGACACACACACACTGACAGACACACACTGATTGACACTCATTGACAGACACACTGATAGTCACACACAGACTCAATGACAAACATACTCTCACTAATTTGACAGACACTCACAAACACACACTCATACACTGACAAACACACTCATCATACACTGACAGACACACTCATACACACACACTCATACAATCACTCACTGACACACACACACACACTCAGAAACACACACACTGTCACTAACAGACACACACACTTACTCACACATACTAATTTCCCCGCTCTGCTCCCTCGCGGGCTGCCTACTGATGCCGGGAGCCGGAATATGATGCCCCTAGAGCCCCCATCGCCGCCTCTGATCATACCACTGCCGCACGCCGCACCGGGGGTCCAGAAGGTGGCCTGGCAGGAGGGAGAGCTTCCTCCTGCCGGTCACTGAAATCTTGCGCCCCCAGAGCCAGTGTGCCCTAAGGCGGCCACCTGTGCCGCCTTATGGACGCGCCGGCCCTGGTCGGGAGTGGGTCATTTGCGCGCCTGCTGCCTTCCTTGCATGTGGTAGCCGTTTGTCAGGGTCCCTGTACGGAATCGAACCCTGATTCCCCGTTACCCGTGGTCCCCATGGTAGGCGCAGTGAATGGAATCGAAAGTTGATATGGATTGACATACGAATGCGTCGTTGCCTTCTCGTTGGGGAACACATTGAAAAAGTGCTCTAGCATGACGAGCTGGGTGATCTCCTCTGGAAACTTGGCTTGATGGGAGTTGAGCCAGTTCTTGGTGGCCCTTGTGATGCCACGGTGTATATCCAGATATATCAGAGCTGCTGCTGTAAGTGCAGGCCGTCTGTGTACGCTTTTGGCATTCTCACCCTGCTGCTGCTCACCTGTCTGCGCTGCAGCGTAACTTCAGTCTTCCCGCTGACCGCCTCATGAGACTGTGCGAGCAGCAGCAGGCAATAGTGGAGTTTCAGATGCAGCACGCATAGGTCAGTCGCTCTGCGGAACAGTTTTCTTTTTTATGTGTCCCAATATTTTGGGGGCTACCCCAATTAAAAAAAAATATATATATATATAAAAAACAATGTTGGCTACCTCCTCCATCGCTGCTTCCACCTACACCGCCACGGTCACCGCCTCCTCAACCTATGGGTCACTTAGTATAAACTATGTACACAACAGTAGAGGCTTGTGAAGGCCTTTTCTCCATGCATCAGGAGTTGAGCATTTCTCCATGCATCAGGACTGCAAGAAATGCACCGCAGGTCGCAAATGTTTATTTTTTTTATATGTCCCAATATTTTGGGGACTACCCCAATTAAAATAAAATAAAAATAAAAATATATATATATATATATATAAAAAACAGTGTTGGCTACCTCCTCCACCGCCGCTTCCACCTACACCGCCACGGTCACCGCCTCCTTAACCTATGGGTCACTTAGTATAAACTATGTACACAATAGCAGAGGCTTGTGAAGGCCTTTTCTCAATGCATCAGGAGTTGAGCATTTCTCCATGCATCAGGACTGCAAGAAATGCACCACAGGCCGCAAATGTTTCTGTTTTTATATGTTCCAATATTTTGGGGGCTACCCCAATTTAAAAAAAAATATGTATATATATAAAAAACAGTGATGGCTACCTCCTCCTCCACCGCCGCTTCCACCTACACCGCCACGGTCACCGCCTCCTCAACCTATGGATCACTTAGTATAAACTATGTACACAATAGCAGAGGCTTGTGAAGGCCTTTTCTCCATGCATCAGGAGTTGAGCATTTCTTCATGCATCAGGACTGCAAGAAATGCACCACAGGCCGCAAATGTTTCTGTTTTTATATGTTCCAATATTTTGGGGGCTACCCCAATTAAAATAAAATAAAAATATATATATAAAAAACTGTGTTGGCTACCTCCTCCTCCACCGCCGCTTCCACCTACACCCAGTGGTGTAGCCTGGTTTTGTGCTGCCCTAGGCAGAACAAAACTCAGGCACCCTCCCATCCCCACTCCGCGCACCACCCCCACCCAACCCTTCCACCCTGCCCCGCATTCTAAATACACACACACATTCAGTGACAGAAACACACACTCACTAACAGACACACACTCACTAATACACACTCACACTCACTCACAGACACACACTCACTCACTAACAGACACACACTCACTAACAGACTCACTCACTAACAGACACACACACACTCACTAACAGACAAACACACACTCACTAACAGACACACACTAACAGACACACACTCACTCACTAACAGACACACACACACACACTCACTAACAGACACACACACACTAACAGACACACTAACAGAGACACACAGTCAAACACACACTAACAGACACACACACAGTCAGACACACACACACTAACATACACACACTAACAGACACACACACACTAACAGACACACACTAACAGATACACACAGTCAGACACACACACACTAACAGACACACACACACACAGTCAGACACACACACACACACACTAACATACACACACTCACAGACACACACACACACTCACTGACAGACACACACACACTCACAGACACACACACTAACAGACACACTGGTTTTTTTTTTTATTTAACCAGCCCAGCCTCCTTACCTTTAGGAATGCTGGCGGGGTTCTCCCTCTCCCTGGGGCTGCCGGTCGGACGGCTCCCGGCATCACTCTGTGGCGCGCAAGGGAGCTGAGGAGACAGCTCAGGGGAAAGTGCTCCCTCACCAGCGCCGCCTGACCGGCAGCCCGCCCCCCCAGCAGCCCGTCTGGCTTGTCAGTTAGCCGCAAGGCTAACAAGACATTTGCCCTGGGCATTTGGAGGCGGCTTTTTTTGCCGTCCACTGGAAAATGCCGACCAAGGCAAATGCCTTGTTTGCCTCGCGGCTAAAACGTCCCTGCCTACATCGCCACGGTCACCGCCTCCTCAACCTATGGGTCACTTAGTATAAACTATGTGCACAATAGCAGAGGCTTGTGAAGGCCTTTTCTCCATGCATCAGGAGTTGAGCTCAGTTTGAACAATGAAAGAGAATACCCTGCACTCCAACCCTCTCTCAAATGAATAATTCTGGTGATCCTCCTGACAGCCATGCTTTAGATTTTGATTTATGTTCTTCCAAAGCTAAAATCAAAGATTCCATCTAGTGCTAATTTATGGCTCAGCTGTATTTTTAATTTTTATGCTATTTTAAGTGATTTCCCTATCCACATTTGTTTGCAGGGCACTTGTCCTACTCTTACCCCCATTTTACTTCCTTTTGCAGCCCTCTAGCCCTTTCCAGGACTTTTTTAGAGGCATTTTTGTTGCCAAAGGTTCGGGTCCCCACTGACTTCAATGGGGTTCAGGTTCGGGGTCAAGTTCGATCACGAACCCAGATTTTTTTTCAAAGTTCGGCCGAACCCGCCGGACCCGAACATCCAGGTGTCCGCTCAACTCTACGTTTCAGTCATCACTTGGTTCCTTTCCTACATGTTGGCCAAGCAGTTCCAATTCCCCCAGCAATGCAGAGATTCATTTAAAAGGTCCCTATTTAGCCTGGCTAATTAAAAGTGGGATCTAGGGACCTCCTCTGACAACTTTATTAAATTAAAAACATAATTTAGAATAAAAGAATACTCATGTTGTTCAAGCTTTGTCACAAAATGCAGTCTTTTGTCAATGGAAATACTTTCACAAACTTGAAATCTATAATGCCTGCTTTCATTTAAAAAAACAAAACAAAAAACAAATAGAAAAGTAGTAATTACCCCCTTGTCCTGATTCAAATAAATATTTTAAGCTGATAACATATTTTGCATGTATAACATCAGCCATAAAGTTCATTGGTTGTATGGAAGGTCAGAGCTTACAACCCAAGTTCCTCTTTGAAGCTGGGACCCCAACAGAGCCACTCTGCAAGGTGTGAGAAGTCACACACAAGTGGCCTGGAAGTCTGGCTTCAGTACAAACTAACTCTCTCATTTGCCACATGTCTTGATTGCCTCTTAGATAGGGAGTCCTTTGATATGTTAATGATCATTAGCTCTCAAGAACAAACAAAAAAATACCTTGTGTTTCAATATCATATCCAAAAGAGACATTAATACCTGAAAACAATAAGCAGGCAAGTAAGTGGGCACGGTTTTCAGTGACGGCTTTCTGTCACAGAAATGATTCAACATTATCACCTGAGCTGAGGGGGAACACTTAGGAGTCTCCCCCAGTTTTTGGCAAACTACTCAAAATGGCCTAACAAAACTACATAGCCTGCATAGAACCATGACACTACAATAAGCTCTAGTGATAATTTCGCATCACATCATTACCTGTTATTATTAAAAATGTACACTCACCCACTAGACATTGGAGAGTGAATATTCCCACCTGGTGGACCCTTCTGCATTAGGAAAGAAAAAAAGAAAGAAAGAAAGAAAGAAAAATCATACCCCTGCAGTTTTACTGTTCAATTCACTGCCATTTAGAAGTTAAATCACTTTTGTTTCTGTTTATGCAGCTCTAGCCACACCTCCCCTGGTTGTGACTGCCACGCCTGAATGAAAAAAAAGTTTTACTTTCAATCAGATGTAAATTACTTAAAATGTTTTATCTCCTGCTCTGTAAATTAAACTTTCAGTACACACAGGAAAATCCTGCAGGGTCTAGCAAGCTATTAGCAGAGCAGGAGATACAAAATTCTAAATTAAACAGAATATGCAATTAAGGAAGTGTAAACATTAGATGTCTCTTTACTGGAACTGTTAAGAAAGCTGAGTAAGAGATTCATAAACAAAGCGATTTAACTCCTAAGTGGCAGACTTGAGCAGACAGTGAGACTGAAGGGGTTTATGTATAGACCCAAACTCTTTTATTAAGCTAAAGTTGTTTCGATAACTATAGTGTCCCTTTAAATTTGAGATACACTTTGAATTTCAATTTACTTTGAATTCTCACTTTAGTATTTGGGCTGGTCAGGAGAAGTAATTACTCATGGTCTAATTTTGTGCATCCTTTTGTGTTATTCCCTGTGCTTCGATTTATATATATATACTAAATCATGTTTAGATTAGTTTTTAGGGGAGAAGTTTTTTTACTTATTTTAAGCCACCAGCTGTATCCGGGTGGCCTTGGGTACGGGGCTATTATAACAGAGCAAGTAATTTGAATTTCTTAATGTAGAGATGACTTTTTCTTGGCTCTCATACTAGATAGGATATCGTTCTTCAAGACATGTAAACATAGATTTCTTCCCTTGTTAATGTTATATTGTTCAGATATGTAAGGGGGGAGCGCTCCCATTCCAGATGTGTGTCTCCTTGATTAAGTATACATTAAAAAAATAAAAATAAAATAACAAAGCTTACAGCAAGCAGCTTTTACATAAAGATATAGTGAGTGATACCAAATGAGGATTTCCTTAAATTTTTTGTCAAATAACTGCAATAAACATGTAAGTAGAAGCCTTTCATAATTATGTTTTATACCTTCCAACTTTAATCAGTATGAATAGTAAATGCTAATATATGAAAAAACACTGATAACTTTCTTAGTAGTTATTTTGCTATAATTTGCATTTAACCCATTCATTATCATATTTTTTAAGTCTCTAATGTATCATATCCGTTATGATATGGTCTTTTGGTCAAAGGGTTGTGGAATGTTCTGAAGCAGAGAGGGCCACCAAGCCTCCATGACTGGTTACTTTAGGGGTGCTT